CTGCGTCCGCCCGCAAGCACGTGGAACCCACCCGCGCGCAGTGGGGACTGTCTCCATCTTTCTGCGTCTGACACCGAGGCGAGACAGCAGAAAGACGAGGAGGGAGATGCAACACTTGATCTAGTTTTGAAATATTCAGATGCAACAATTGCAACATACGACTGAAAACAAATAAAATATTTGACACATGCGTGTGAAACACTTGCAAAAACAACTGAAAAGCACTTACATCATATATGTAAAAACATATGAAACATCCAGATAAACACACTTGCAACATACGTCGAAAAACAGATAAAACATTGAGAACACATGAACTTGCAACATACGTGTACAACCATTAGAACATGTACAACATCCTGAACTACTTTTGCAACATCTGTTTGAAACACTTACAACATACCTCTGAAATATTTGAAACAGATGCTTCTAATATGCGTTATTTACCCTTCTTCCGTACCACGCAGCACAGAGCAGGGGATGGCTAGTTCTAGCCAGCCGGGAGTCGATGATGGTGGCATGACCTGGCAGCGGTCAATTGTGCTTGCGCCTGTCCTGGCCTGGCCAACGACGCCCCCCCTCTCCTGGCCACCTGGCCTAGGCGCGGGAGACGGAGGTGCCGCGGGGATGGCGGGCGGCGGCGCAGGATGGAGGTGGAAGCGTGGCGGATTGGCATGGTCGGATGGCCACACAGTGCAGTAAAGCCACGATGCACGAACACGGAACGGGGGAGACGAGCTTCCATGAGAATTTGTTTTTTTAAGAACAAGCATCGCATGCGGCAGTGGGTGGAGCGAGCCTGAAACGGTCCGTCGAGCTGCGTCGGCGACGATGCGAATGAACAGCTCATGATATGCATGCACCGCAGGAGCAAGTGGATCGTGCGGTCGTCTCATGGTAGCCGGTGCACACGGAAGCAGAAGGGCAGAAGGCGGCCTAGATGAGGCGTTCAATGCAGCCTCGGGCCTCGGCTGGCTGTGGCCATTCAGATGCCAGATATGCACGTACGGTACTTTTGCCGCGTGAGAGTCCACCTTCGCAGGCTAGGTACAACAAGGACACATCGCGGTGCGCAGCGGGCCCTGGCGCCCAGCCGTCCTGTAGTCGTGGTTGCAACTTGCAAGTTGGAACTTCGTGACGCGATTCGCAAGCTACCTTACGGTAAGCATGAAGACGATAGTGAATTTTTTGAAACCAGAATTCTTAAAATGTCATTTGATGGACCACCACAACAGAACCGATGATGTTTCAATTGGGGCGGTTTGGTGGAGCTTCTCACTTCCGGAGCCGCTCTACCATCTCCACTGCCAAACAGCTCTATTCTATTCAACTCCACACACGAAGCCATGAAAACACACACCCTATTGCAGGGTGGGTGCACGGCGGAGTTGAAAAAAAAAAAACTGTTTCCAACGGCTCTCTAGAGAGGCGCGCACTGGTGGACATGGATGCTCCTGACCGCTCGTTCGTGGCGAGCTCCTGTGGGATGGCGCGGGCGGCGACGACGGAGAAGAACCTCGGATGGCGGAGTAGAGGAAGCCGTAGACGGCGAGGAATGAGCCTATGACGGTGGTGCGGCGAGTGGATAGGCGTCGAGAGAGGAGGCAGTCGAGGCGGCACATAGCTCGAGGAGGTCGTAGGTGTAGAAGTGCATGAAGATGACGGCGAGGACAGGATAAGGTGAAGAGAAAGAAAGAGAGAGAGGGAGAGAGAGAAATAGAGGAGGAAAACTAAATAAAATACAAGAAAAAATTAAGTAGAAAAAATAAAAAGAATACTATAGATATTTCAATCTTTTCGATGATCAGGAAAAGTTGGTTCATCTAGTTTTTCGAACCACCGAAGTCGGAGTTAGGTTCATCTAGTTTTTTAAACCACCGAAGTCGGAGTTAAAAAATAACTGCTCTATCAAAGAAGCCATTTGTTAGAATTGTTTTGACCGGAGCCGATGCTATACCAATGTCCCTTTGTTTTGTGTGGTGGCGACATGCATGAATCATGTATAGCCTGCTAGCAAACAAAAAAGTGCTTCATCAAGAATACAACTATAGGTTTTATATACAAGTCAAACTAACCTAATTCTAACTAAGTTTGTAGTAAATAATATTAACATTTATTTTTAACTAAGTTTACTAGAAAATAGATTTTATAGTTAATTTAATAGTATGTACCATAAATATTAGTATTTTTTATATAACTTTGTGGTTAAACTTTAAATCGTTTGGCCCTTTTAAAAATTAAGAATTACTTCATTTTATGGAAGGAGTAGAATCAATCTCCTCTCTCATCTACTAGGTGTGGCCAGCAGTATTATAGCAAGAGAAGTAGAGAACAATAATTTGTCGATTGAACATCGAGGTAACTAGAGTCATCGTGGCTAGCATTTTCTTTTACAACACCGTTTCTTCCGGCGTGGAAATCGACGTTCGCTGAGGGGCCCTCAATCCCCTCCAATCCACTAGGGGAATGGTTGATCCAAAGGAGCCCTCAAGAGAGACAACGGACCAACGTCGGTTTTGAGACATGACGCGGCTGCTTTTCAACAAAATCACGTAAAATGACGACTCCGTCCCACTTGTAAGCGACACATGACGTCATTTGTCACGTGGTAATCTAACACGAGGATAGCGTACATTCCAACATTGTTACACAAGAAGATCCAAGTTAATGTGCTGTGTTCTGTGAAGGTGTGGTGAGCACAATGCTTGAGCCACGTTGCACTCTCGCTTTGATTTAACTCTGTGTAGAGCAGCATATCAAAATATTTACTTTCAGGGTACCTTTAAAATTATATCTGAAATATTTAAAACCTAAAGGGAACGGGCTTCCTACACCTCCGTTTTTCTCCTTTTGGGCTCCATAGAGATAACAGCTTGGGCCTGTTTGGAATGGAGTATTTTCATAGGAAAAGTAGAAGAAACAAAAACAGATGAAAGTTTCCTGAGAATAGCGTTTGGATTAAATGATTCTCTGGTTCCTTTCCTATGGAACACTGTTGCAGGCTTCTCGTTTCAAAGGAAAACAAAAATCCAATCAGAACTCAGGTTTTCTCTTCCTTCACGAAGTACGAGACAACCACGCTGCTTAGACGTTGGGCTAGCTTGTGCACGTCACTGTCGAATCTCTGCTACTTTAAAGCTTGCACTGATAAGTACTCATATTTGCCTAACATGTTACAATTCATATGTTATAAATTCATGTGTTCCAAATAGCCTAAATTTTCTGTTCCTGTGTTTTGAAATCCCGTAGTTTTTCACTTTTCATCATACCTTATTCATGCGTTTTTTTCTATTCCTGTGTTTTGGATTCCTTCGTTCCAAACAAACCCTTAATCAAGGTTTCAATGATAAGTGAAACCTAAAAGAAAGATGAAATACATGCCTTAAAATTTTCTGGGCATGTATTTTTTTTCTTCTTTCTATGATAACTTCTCTTTCTAGGCATTGCACTGGTATAAGATTATCTCATGTATTTGTTCTTCTTTCTATTTTGACATGATCGATTCTACGTGTTTTTCTCGAATACGCAAAAAAATTAGGCATCATTGTAATTAAGGGAACAAATTCAGGGTTATCTTCAAGAACGGTTCTTCGAAATGGAACAAATCCAAACAGGGTTATTTTCAATCACCACTGATCTCCCAGTGTAGCGTAGCCTTACGCAACGAAAGCGACCGTGGCGGACTAATCAAGCGTGGCAGTAAATGCAGCACGGATCTTTGTGGCGACAGAGGAGCTGGAGCTGCAAACCCAGCGTCCCAGCCACACAGCCGAGGCCGAAGTCAAACGTCCCGGCGACCCTACGGCGTCACGCTGTCCCGCTGTCCAGGACGGCGCCAGAATTCTCCTCCCGCCGTTGCCCCCGCGGCAGCCATGGACACGGTCGTTGGTACCGATGACCGATCCCATCGCCGAGCCGGTCAGCCACCCTCCGCCCCCGACCCACGAGTTTCCTTGATCCCGTCGTCGGCGCGGGGAAAACCCGGCGCGCCGTGGTTCCCAGCGTGGGTAGGCGCCGCCGGGCGAACCGAGTCGCGCGTCGCGTGACTCGCGTCGGACCGCGCCGTCGGTGCGCGGTCGAAGGGAAGGAAGCATCGCGTGCTCTGCCCGCCTCAGCCCCCGCGCGCCGGCAGTCGCCAGTCGGCACCCACCGCGCGGAAACAAACGAAATAAAAAAAATCTCGAAAACAGCAAAGCACCAAACACACACAAAAGCACCCCACCACCGCGCACCATTTCCTTTCCTTTCTATTCTATCCCTCCCTCCTCGGCTCCTCCCCTCTTTGCCCGAGTCGCCCGCCTCCTCCCTGCCCCGCCTCCTCCCGTCCTCGCCGTGGACCGCTTCCTCCACCTCCGCTTCCACAGCAGCCGAGCGAGGTCAGCTCTTCCGCCGGCGGAGAGAGAGAGCGAGGGCGGGAGCGGGGAAGAGACGGGAGGGTCCCGGATCTGAGCCGAGCTGCGCTCTCCGCGCGCCCGTCACCGCCCACCGCCCACCGCCCGACACCCAGGTCTTGTCGCCCCGCGCAGATCTGCTGCTGCTCCTGAGGTAAATCGTCGATTGCTTGAACCGTACCCGGTAGATCCGGTATGCTTCCGCGAGCAGAGGGTAGTTCGGTTGCTAGCTTCGCGGCTAGACCTGCTTGCTCTAGTAGTAGCCGATAAGCATCGGCTAGTATATTTACTAGCCACCCTATATTTGGTAGATTCGCCAAATGGAGTGAAATCCGGCCTCCCGACTCCGCAGATCTCTCGAGCTCCGTTGATTCTTTGATTCCTTTCCATAGAACCTGCGAAATTGCAGGGATCTGTGCGTGCCAAAGCGCCTAACTGATTAAGATAGTATTACCGAGAGCGAACGTCGCTGAAAAAAAATTCTAATTTCCATAAACTCATCATATGGTTCTTTTTGTGTTCAGATCTGAATCCAAGCTTCAGCTCCGGTTGGTGGTGGTTGGTCGGTACATAAGAAGGCGGCGGCAGCGGCAGGGGAGGGCTGCGAAGATGTCGTCGAGCACGATCCGGAAGGCCCTGGGCGCGGTGAAGGACCAGACCAGCATCGGCCTCGCCAAGGTCACCAGCAACATCGCGCCCGACCTGGACGTGCTCATCGTCAAGGCCACCAGCCACGACGACGAGCCGGCCGAGGAGCGCCACATCCGCGAGATCCTCCACCTTACGTCCGGATCCCGCGCCCACGTCGCTGCTGCCGTGGCAGGGTGCTCCCGGAGGCTCTCCCGCACCCGCGACTATGTGGTCGCGCTCAAGTCACTCATGCTCGTGCACCGGCTCCTGGCCGATGGCGACCCGTCCTTCCACCGCGAGCTCCTCCACGGCACGCGGCGGGGCACCCGCCTGCTCAACCTCTCCGATTTTCGGGACGAGGCGCACTCTGGATCCTGGGATCACTCTGCCTTTGTGCGCACCTATGCCCTCTACCTTGACCAGCGCCTCGAGTTCTTCCTCCATGAGCGCAAGCAGGGATCAAATAATGGCAGCAGCAGCAGCCATAATGGTCCGTCACCACGTGATCGTGACCGCTGGGGTTCACCTGATCCCTATGGCCGCCGCTCTCCCTCCTATTCGTCGCCCCCTGGGTATGGCGGATATGATGATTACCGCGAGAGGAATGGTGGGAACAATGATGACAAGAGGCCGCCGACCCCAGTGAGGGATATGAAGCCAGAGCGGGTCCTTGCTCGTATGCACCAGCTACAGCAGCTGCTTGACAGGTTCCTTGCTTGCCGTCCCACTGGTGGCGCAAAGCAAAGCAGGATGGTGCTGGTTGCGCTGTATCAGATTGTGAGAGAGAGCTTCCAGCTCTCGCCGATATCTGCGAGGTGCTGGCGGTGCTGCTGGACAGGTTCTTTGACATGGAGTATGCTGAGTGCGTCAAGGCTTTTGAGGCATATGCTAGCGCTGCAAAGCAGATTGATGAGCTCTGTGCATTCTATTCATGGTGTAAAGATACCGGAGTTGCAAGGTCATCTGAGTACCCAGAGGTGCAGCGTGTCACTGATAAGTTGCTGGAGACGCTGGAAGAATTTATGAGGGACCGGGCAAAGAGGCCCAAGAGCCCACCACGGGAGCCTGAACCTGAGCCTGTCAAGGAGGAACCTGAGCCGGATATGAACAGCATCAAGGCGCTTCCAGCACCAGAAGATTATAAGGAGCCTGAACCTGAGAAGGTGGAGGAAGAGGTGAAGCCAGAGCCACCCCGCAGCCACAGGGTGACTTGGTGGATCTCAGAGAAGATACTGTTAGTGCAGATGAGCAAGGTAATAGGCTTGCTCTAGCTCTCTTCCAGGGGCCACCCGCTGCTGGTGGAAGCAATGGGTCATGGGAGGCTTTCCCTTCAAATGGTGGCAACGAGGTGACTTCGGCATGGCAGAATCCTGCAGCTGAACCTGGGAAGGCTGATTGGGAGCTTGCCCTTGTAGAGACAGCAAGCAACTTGTCCAAGCAGAAGCCAGCAATGTCAGGTGGTATGGACCCGCTGCTGCTGAATGGTATGTATGACCAGGGTGTTGTGCGCCAGCATGTCAGTTCACAGGTGACAACCGGGAGTGCCAGCAGCGTCGCCCTGCCTGCTCCTGGACAGAAGACTCAGATGCTTGCTCTGCCTGCACCGGATGGTTCAATGCAGACTGTTGGTGGTGACCCCTTTGCAGCGTCCCTTGTTGTCCCACCACCGTCCTATGTGCAGATGGCAGATTTGGAGAAGAAGCAACAGCTGTTGACGCAGGAGCAAATTATGTGGCAGCAGTACCAGAGGGACGGCATGCAAGGGCAATCGAGCCTGAACAGGCTCGACCGGGCTTACAACAACGGTGTCGCCCCCAACCCGGCTATGCCCTATGGGATGCCCACGGCATACAACACGAACCCCATGCCAATGGCCTACACCGGGAACACTGGGTATTACTACCCTACTTACTGAGGAGGTCTATTCTTTGTTCATCCTTACAGTTGCTGTGATTTTTCGTTCTGTGTTGTGATCTTACTCCCAGCCCTGGGGTTGTGTCCAGCATCAGCTGTTGTTCCCCCGTCTCTGGATCAAACCTTTTGGTCTGATATATGTAATGTAATTTTATTTGTTTGGAACCAAATGCAGCATCCGAGGGTGGCTGTAGTTGATTACATAATCTCAATTGATCTTTGCTAATCTTCTGCATACAACAACAACAACAACATAGCCTTTCAGTCTTAAGCAAGCAAAAGATGTTGCTAATCTTCTGCATGTTATCACTTTTCTTCACTCGTTGCGTTGAGTGACTGTCACATCCTTGTTAGGATTGGAGTTAGGAATCTGTATTTGGCACTGTAGCACTTTCGTTTGTATTTGACAATTATTGTCCAATCATGGCCTAACTAGGCTCAAAAGATTTGTCTCGTAATTTACAATCAAACTATGTAATTAGTTATTTTTTTATCTATATTTAATACTTTATACATGTGTCCAAAGATTTGATGTGATGGAAAGAGAGTGAAAAAAATCTAAACAAGGACCGATGATCTACCTGTTGTGACGAGAAATGCTCTGTTTCTCAGATCTAGATCGCCATGTTTGTTGGAAAAGCTTGCTGGTTGTTGGCATTAAGGGTGTCATGTTTGGTGGTAACCAAGTTATAACTATTTTTGTTGTGACCAATACTTTTCCGAAATAGACTTGAGAGGCCCTACTTTCTAGCATGTTGCTCTTTGAAGCTATGAAGTCTGGTGTGTGGACCTCTCTTGGACTACAATGGCGATAGTTATTCTTGAAGAGTACATTTTAGAAATGAAGGAAGAAAACTGTCGAACAGGTTTTGAAATTGGTTGAAAACGATAACTTTTTTTTTATGTTTTGCTAAGCTCGGAAACTCTATCATAATGTATAAAACGATGTGGTACGGTACGGGAATTTCTCTTTCCCCTGCTTCCACCCAATTCTTTCCAGTTCCAGCCAGGGTGAAAATTAAAATAAAATATTTGCGGTGAATGGGAAGTCTAAGCCACGACGACGAGCCGGCCGAGGAGCGCCACATCCGCGAGATCCTCCACCTTACGTCCGGATCCCGCGCCCACGTCGCTGCTGCCGTGGCAGGGTGCTCCCGGAGGCTCTCCCGCACCCGCGACTATGTGGTCGCGCTCAAGTCACTCATGCTCGTGCACCGGCTCCTGGCCGATGGCGACCCGTCCTTCCACCGCGAGCTCCTCCACGGCACGCGGCGGGGCACCCGCCTGCTCAACCTCTCCGATTTTCGGGACGAGGCGCACTCTGGATCCTGGGATCACTCTGCCTTTGTGCGCACCTATGCCCTCTACCTTGACCAGCGCCTCGAGTTCTTCCTCCATGAGCGCAAGCAGGGATCAAATAATGGCAGCAGCAGCAGCCATAATGGTCCGTCACCACGTGATCGTGACCGCTGGGGTTCACCTGATCCCTATGGCCGCCGCTCTCCCTCCTATTCGTCGCCCCCTGGGTATGGCGGATATGATGATTACCGCGAGAGGAATGGTGGGAACAATGATGACAAGAGGCCGCCGACCCCAGTGAGGGATATGAAGCCAGAGCGGGTCCTTGCTCGTATGCACCAGCTACAGCAGCTGCTTGACAGGTTCCTTGCTTGCCGTCCCACTGGTGGCGCAAAGCAAAGCAGGATGGTGCTGGTTGCGCTGTATCAGATTGTGAGAGAGAGCTTCCAGCTCTACGCCGATATCTGCGAGGTGCTGGCGGTGCTGCTGGACAGGTTCTTTGACATGGAGTATGCTGAGTGCGTCAAGGCTTTTGAGGCATATGCTAGCGCTGCAAAGCAGATTGATGAGCTCTGTGCATTCTATTCATGGTGTAAAGATACCGGAGTTGCAAGGTCATCTGAGTACCCAGAGGTGCAGCGTGTCACTGATAAGTTGCTGGAGACGCTGGAAGAATTTATGAGGGACCGGGCAAAGAGGCCCAAGAGCCCACCACGGGAGCCTGAACCTGAGCCTGTCAAGGAGGAACCTGAGCCGGATATGAACAGCATCAAGGCGCTTCCAGCACCAGAAGATTATAAGGAGCCTGAACCTGAGAAGGTGGAGGAAGAGGTGAAGCCAGAGCCACCCCCGCAGCCACAGGGTGACTTGGTGGATCTCAGAGAAGATACTGTTAGTGCAGATGAGCAAGGTAATAGGCTTGCTCTAGCTCTCTTCCAGGGGCCACCCGCTGCTGGTGGAAGCAATGGGTCATGGGAGGCTTTCCCTTCAAATGGTGGCAACGAGGTGACTTCGGCATGGCAGAATCCTGCAGCTGAACCTGGGAAGGCTGATTGGGAGCTTGCCCTTGTAGAGACAGCAAGCAACTTGTCCAAGCAGAAGCCAGCAATGTCAGGTGGTATGGACCCGCTGCTGCTGAATGGTATGTATGACCAGGGTGTTGTGCGCCAGCATGTCAGTTCACAGGTGACAACCGGGAGTGCCAGCAGCGTCGCCCTGCCTGCTCCTGGACAGAAGACTCAGATGCTTGCTCTGCCTGCACCGGATGGTTCAATGCAGACTGTTGGTGGTGACCCCTTTGCAGCGTCCCTTGTTGTCCCACCACCGTCCTATGTGCAGATGGCAGATTTGGAGAAGAAGCAACAGCTGTTGACGCAGGAGCAAATTATGTGGCAGCAGTACCAGAGGGACGGCATGCAAGGGCAATCGAGCCTGAACAGGCTCGACCGGGCTTACAACAACGGTGTCGCCCCCAACCCGGCTATGCCCTATGGGATGCCCACGGCATACAACACGAACCCCATGCCAATGGCCTACACCGGGAACACTGGGTATTACTACCCTACTTACTGAGGAGGTCTATTCTTTGTTCATCCTTACAGTTGCTGTGATTTTTCGTTCTGTGTTGTGATCTTACTCCCAGCCCTGGGGTTGTGTCCAGCATCAGCTGTTGTTCCCCCGTCTCTGGATCAAACCTTTTGGTCTGATATATGTAATGTAATTTTATTTGTTTGGAACCAAATGCAGCATCCGAGGGTGGCTGTAGTTGATTACATAATCTCAATTGATCTTTGCTAATCTTCTGCATACAACAACAACAACAACAACAACAACATAGCCTTTCAGTCCAAGCAAAAGATGTTGCTAATCTTCTGCATGTTATCACTTTTCTTCACTCGTTGCGTTGAGTGACTGTCACACCGATGTTGTCACTTGCATCATTGCATGTAGTTGTTCCTGACAGAGTGGTACTGCGCGTTGCGTCTTCTATGAATAGGGCCTTGTTTAGATTAGAGTTAGGAGTATTTGGCACCGTAGTACTTTCGTTTGTATTTAACAATTATTGCTCAATCATAGCTAATTAGGCTCAAAAGATTTGTCTCGTAATTTATAATCAAACTGTGTAATTAGTTATTTTTTATCTACATTTAATACTTCATGTATGTGTCCAAAGATTTGATGTGATGAAAAGAGAGTGAAAAAACTTTAATCTAAACAAGGACCAGATGATCTACCTGTTGTGACGAGAAATGCTCTGTTTCTCAGATCTAGATCGCCATGTTTGTTGGAAAAGCTTGCTGGTTGTTGGCATTAAGGGTGTCATGTTTGGTGGTAACCAAGTTATAACTATTTTTGTTGTGACCAATACTTTTCCGAAATAGACTTGAGAGGCCCTACTTTCTAGCATGTTGCTCTTTGAAGCTATGAAGTCTGGTGTGTGGACCTCTCTTGGACTACAATGGCGATAGTTATTCTTGAAGAGTACATTTTAGAAATGAAGGAAGAAAACTGTCGAACAGGTTTTGAAATTGGTTGAAAACGATAACTTTTTTTTTATGTTTTGCTAAGCTCGGAAACTCTATCATAATGTATAAAACGATGTGGTACGGTACGGGAATTTCTCTTTCCCCTGCTTCCACCCAATTCTTTCCAGTTCCAGCCAGGGTGAAAATTAAAATAAAATATTTGCGGTGAATGGGAAGTCTACAGTTACTGGTTAGTTCATTTCTTCGCTAGCTTTGGTTGGAGTCAGTAGTTTGTTGACGACTTCCGCAGGCTAAAGGATTAAGTCCACTTTTGATCCCTCAACTGTTATGTTGGTCTAATTTTGATCCCCAACTATAAAACCGTCTGGTCCAGGCATTGGATCTTTCAAAACCGTTCAGTTTTGGCACCTCGGCGTGATTGAGGCGGTTTACGCTGATGTGTGCCTAGTTTTGACCCGCCACGCTGGCATTGACGGCCATGTAGGACGGCCGCGCGGATCAAAACAAGTGCCGCCCGCTTCACTCTCTCTCCCTCTCAGTTCCTCTCCCCCGAACCCTAGACGCCGCCGGCGCCTCCATCGTTGTAGCCGCTACCGCATCCTCTCCTCCGGTGCCTCCGCGTCTCCCCTCTGCCGCCTTCGCAGTGCGGAAATGGCGACCTCAAGCGGATCCAGCCGAACTTTGGGGACCCAAGAATCGTGATGGCGTCGCCATGGCGATTCGTCCTCACCCATCCCCTATCGTGAAGGACCCTTTTGAACGTGATGCAAAAACTGCTGTTTCATATCTTGGTGTGATTTGAACCCGGCCTCGCGATAATCACATCCTATGAAACAAACCAAGTTGTTCCAATAAATCGTAGACACACTCAATCACCGATGCATGTCTACGATTATGAATCACAAAGAGAACAACTTACACAGAGCCCGCAATCACTTCGTGATACCGCAATCCTGCGTTCAAATCACTCCAAGATATGAACCTAGCAGCTTTTGCACCGCATTTGCATAGTACTGCTGGGGTATACTCCAGTGGTCCTTCACGATAGGGGATGGGTGAGGACGAATCGCCATGGCGACGCCATCGCGATTCTTGGGTCCCCAAACTTTGGCTAGATCCGCTTGAGGTCGCCATTTCCGCACTGCGAAGGCGGCAGAGGGGAGACTGCGGACGCGGAGGCACCGGAGGAGAGGATGTGGTAGCAGCTACGGCGATGGAGGCGCCGGCGGTGGCGGCGTCTAGGGTTCGGGGGAGAGGAACTGAGAGGAGAGAGAGAGAGAGCTGAGTGGGCCGGCACCTGTTTTGACCCGCGCGGCCGTCCTACGTGGCCGTCAATGCCAGCGTGGCGGGTCAAAACCAGGCACACGTCAGCGCAAACCGCCTCAATCGCGCCGAGGTGCCAAAACTGAATGGTTTTAAAAGTTCCAGTGCCTGAACTAGACGGTTTTATAATTGGGGGTCAAAATTAGACCAATATGATAGTTGAGGGGCCAAAAGTGGACTTAATCCCAGGCTAAAACATTCATCATTGAATAAATCACAGTGACCTAATTTGTGGTCCGTCGCTGACTCTTTATCTGATCCATTAGGGAGGCAGCCAAGCAGGTAGACATGTAATCCTATTCGTTTGATCGCGTTTGGCTTATAAGCCGATCGTTTATGGCGATAAACATTATACGATCAATTCAAAGTTATTCTGGACAACTTTGGGGTCTGATAAATAAACAGGTAGGGCACGATAATGGAGTGCGGAACATCTAGGGTTTTTACCCAACTATCACCGGAACTTTGGGGTCTGATAAATAAACAGGTAAGGAACCTAGAAATGATTCATCACGATTGGGGTTGGGGCGTTGCAGAGTGCGCGCTTTCCGGGCACGGCACGCTCGCCAGACGGCGACCCCCGGCAGGATAACAAGCACGTCGCCGTCGACTCGGGGCTTGGATGATATCTACAACTCGTCAAGGAACTATTCCATACTCTTCTTTGTATGCGAATTGATGGTGGTCCGTGCGCCGTACGGCGAGGAATATCACAACAAGAACTAGGGATTTTCAGCATTTATTCATTCGAAATAGAAAGCCCTAGCATTAGCATGCTCTGAATTCTGAAGACGAACCCTGCATGGACGCAACCGAATGGCCAGGCAGCAGTGAGGCAAGCACAACTTCGACATGGCGATGACATTGTTTACCTAAGCGGCCCTGTAGTCTGTTCATTAAGGGTTTGTCTGGTTTGTTGCCCAGTCAACTTTGGCTGGCCAGGCAGTAATTTAGGCTCTCGATTTCGAGTGACTGGTGGCCTAGTTTGTTACCTGGCAAATATAGTGGCCAGTCGAATCTCTTTATTGGGCAGTTTGTCTTGCTTATACGGTTGTTTACCCTGTTCGAATGTTCATCTAGTCCTAATAAACAGGTAGGTAATTAACCCTTTTAGCATTTAGGGGCTGGTTGATGTCCTCAGAGCAATGTTGCCTGGCGGCAAGAAGGATCCACACAGATGCTTGGGGCTCTAATCACTGCCTGAGCGATGGATAGTTTGTTTGGCGCGCGCGAGAGAGAAGAGAGAGTTGCCTGCAAGTTGCCTAAAAAGTTAACGACTTATGCTTGGCAGGCAAATATGGGATTGCAGTGTTTTGTTGGTGAGAAAATACCAGCTATTGTCTCTGCAGCTCCGGTGCTCAATAATTCATCAGCGTTAGGCAAACTCCAGTTTCGATGCTCTCAGGACACTCATCTCATAGGATGATAGGATTGCTTATCTCTAGTAAATTACTTATACCATCTAAACATAGGTGGTAAGAGCTATACCTTTTAATTATGATAGAAACAAGTTTTACGATAATTCTGAGATAAGTTGCGGCCTAAAAAATGAAACAACCCCAAAATAAAACAACCCCAACAATCGAGGCACCTCAGAGCACCCCGTTGGCAGCACCACAACATGGCCCAAAATAGAAGCTAATTAGGATATACAAAGCTTATTTTCAAATATGCTGAAACACCTATGTATTTCTCTTCTCTTGTATTTGCCAATGCCTGTGTTAGTTGCTGGCAGCAAGAGCTTTGACGGGTGTTGGCAGTTGTTTTGTGAACTGCAGAGAAAGTGTGAAGTTACTAGAGGCCAAGCCTCATGAGTTGGGTGTGGACAATGATTCTCAGCATATTTTCAGCCAGAGGCAATGGTTCAGCCCTACGTTCCAAATTACAAGACGTTTTGACATTTCTAAATATATAAATTTTGTTATATATGTAGATATACATTTATGTCTAGTAAAATCAATGCATCTAGAAAGGCCAAAAGGTCTTATAATTTGGAATAGGAGTAGTTAGTCTAAACTAATGGCATGTTCGGCTGGTATTAAAGCCGACTGAAGCTGTTTTGTTGTGAGAGAAAAATATTATAGATTCTAGCTAATAAACCGGCTGATAAGTTCAAGTGAACAGGCCAGTTGAGATTTACTGTGTACACACCACTATTCCGATAGTCGTTGAGATTTACTGTGTACACACCACTATTTTTAGGAATCAGGTCATGCGACACACACATTTACACAACAAAAACATAAGGAACGATGATTCAGGTTCTTTTAATTTATGCCCAAAATAAGTAACACATTAGGTGCTATTGTACTAGCAACTATGTCAACAATGTTCTCAAAGGGTCTGTTTGGATACACATGGCTGGTTACTAGCTAGGCCAAAAATTAGTCCAAATAGTTAGCTAACAACTAATTGAAGACTTAACTAAAACTTTAGCTCACCTGTTAAGAGCTATTTTTTATTAAATTTTAGCTAGTGTTGACGTAAAGATTGGTCACACACTAGCTAGGGATAGATCGTCCTGGTCGCCACGGACCGAACAACGCAACGAACATCACACTTACGTGGTGAAGAACAGAGATGTTTGGGTTTATGAGCAAACCACCAAAGGATAGGTATCGCGCTTACGTGGCGAAGAGTGGCTAGTTTCCAGGTAAATTAGCAAAGGTAACCAATCATGCTTGTATGACGAAGAACGGCTAGTTCCTGAGCAAACTAGCAAAGAAACCGTTGAAGCTCTCGTCCGGGAGGGACCCCATAGGGACAAAGATGTTGCCGGGTTGCCCTAGGTCGGCCGACAAGTCTAGGGCACCATTCTTGGTCATCGGATCAAGTAATGAATAGCAACATAGGGTTGAAAAAGGACATAAAAGAGTTGTATTTTGTAGACGTAAAAACACAATTGGATTGTTGATACCTCAATCGACCATGTACCCCTCTATTTTATAGGGAGTAGGGGTGGTTTAACCCTGTTAAAAACCAATATGGTATTATTATCATGTCGTTTTATAGAGTTTTTCTTAGATCGAGACCTCTCAAAGTTGGTCTGTGACAGGTAACTAGTGAGTCCTTATATCAAACGGGTCCTAAATCTAGATTGCCGTATATTGGGCACACCGGACCCGTGCATCCGTGCCATACGTCTCCAACCGTACTCCAAGCCCGTTGTCGAAATAAGAGCATGAGCGGCCAACAAGATAGTAGGCGAGCTTGCAAAAGAACTTGTCGACGACACTATTGGGGTAGTCGCATGACGTATGCACAATACTATATAGTTGGGTGAACCGTGGAGTTGACACATGACATGGTATGGATAAGTAGGGTTGAAGGAAAAAAAAAAAAGGGACGGTTTTGGCTTCATAAGTGATCATAAACAAAAGACATGATAAGCTAGAAATACTAACTCGTACATTGTACAACTAGAAATACTAACTCATGCATCATACATTTACATAAACAACGGCGATAAAAAGCATGAACCCGATCTTCCGTGAGGCAACTTTTGGAACACATTACTGAGGCCAACTATCAAGGGCATGGTAATAAACAAGAGCACGGCCCCCCTTCAAATTAATTCAAATCCCTACAAGGGACACCTTTCCCACACAGAACGCAAGACCAAACGGGGAAAAAATGCAGGAGCACGATGTGAACTCCATATAGACAAAAGTTCTCTAGAGCTATAAGGTGCCTACAATTCCCGGTCAAGTGAAAGTAACCTTATAAAAGAATGCTACTTGCACATTAAACTAGACAGCACAGTCCAATGATCCTCACAAGGAGTCTACGGCAACAACAAGGGAAACAAGCTTCCATGTTGGCTCCAGTTATGACGCACTTCAGATTTCCCATGTTTGTAGTTCCATCAGAGGTCAGGTCTTCGTACTCAAAATTGGCTATCATTCCGGCTTTAGAAATTCTCTTATGTTACACAGCATGCCTTTGTCATATGGGTTCACAAATTTGACTTCAGAATCTGCATTTGCGGTAGGGAATGGATTTACGTGTGCCATGTTATAAACTACTAGGGTAACTGAGATAAATAAAAAACAATAAAGAGTAGTGCACGTAAAGCACCTGATCGAGGTTGTTCCTTCATCTGGAATTCAGGATATTTCTTCCAGTTAATCTGGAAAATCTCACCTTTTAGCTACAAGAAACAGCTAACGAGAAGACGACCTGCAATTGATGAAGAAAGACTCCAAAGCATGGGAAATTTGAAATTACCCACTCATCTGTCTTGATGTTGAAGCAGATGCAATATATGTGCCACATCAAGAATACAATCTGGCAACAGAGCGGAGGATGTATTAGAAATAAACAAGGCATCACCAGGTTATGTAATACTCCAATCCCAAACATATGTCCATTTGGATTTGGCACTGGAATTAAGGTGAGGGATACACTGGAATTAAGGTGAGGGATACAATGACTAGATTACCCATCAATCATTGCTAGAGTTAAGACGGGTGGTAAGTGAATTGCATTGATTAATCGCATTTACGTAGGGATAGACAAGGACGGACGAAGCAAAAAAGGTTCCATGGAGTTATCATGGACTCATGTTTGGTGCATTTGGGAGAAGATCAGGTGGACTTATCTTTGGGGTCAGAGGGAGTACAACATAAGACTGCAGTTGTAATTAGCGTGTTTGGTATAGGCATAGCAATTACAAATGTAGATAGGAGTGCTGTCTTGTCTCCAAATGCTAAAAGAATTAATGGACAGACATTTCAAGTTCTGACACATGCAACACATATGGCAGCTGACAGTTTCAATATGTCAGGCCAATACTCCCAAATATAACAATGATTAAGTGGACTGAAGTCATATTTCTTGTGGCGCGCTTTCAAATTCAGGGCTGAACACACTTTCCTCTTTTTACTGATGATTTCAATTCACAGCCTGTGAGTATGTATTCACATGAATAAGAAAAATCTCATTTAGATTTGTACATGTTATGAATTGATGCCAACCACAGACTGGCAAGTTGTAATGTTTTATCACAGTAGCCTGAAAACTTATCAGTTTAAGCATGGAAAACCATAAAAAACTTCCAGTAAATATCCCCATGCTGCATAATTTGAGTGGTATTTTTCTTTACAATAGTTTAATAAGGATGATCAATGGGACTATGGGAGCATAGGCATGAGGTAAGTCAAAACTCATAATACATAGATTTTCTGAAGCTCTCCAAGAGATGCAGCACCAACCCTGACAATCTACCTCAAAAGCAGATAGTCTACAAGGAAAAAAAATTCATGGAAGCACGGATAAAAGCACAAGAGAAAGAACTGTCATTACATCACAGGGGTTAGGAGCAAACCTGCCAGAGGACCTGGAGGATAGAGAAGAGCATTGTACTGATTACCATGTTTAGAGATACAGGATTCTGCAAAGTAAATTAGTACACTCAGCATCTTGCAGTCATTCTTATAGATATCAGGAATCAAGGGTACAGTTTGATGGACAAACAAAACAAAAGGAAAGGCTGTATGGTTTCTCAGAAACATGGAAGACAGACTCAAAAGGTCCAGAACATAGCTTAATATAATTGCTTTTGATTATACCATGGTCGACCTGATTTGAATGTTACCATTGAAAGTACTAAAGACATACAAATGCACTCACTCATATGCAGTAAAAAAATTGCCGTGTTTGAGGAAATGAATGAATAGCTACTATGCTAAATCACCCAAGCAAATAGTCCTAGAAGAGAAAAAAATAATGTGTATGGTTGATTGAACACATTTACTTAACAAGTAGCTTATTTGCTAAGGTCAGCTTCTCCTTCATGTTCAAGAAATTTGGGGGTGGGGGGAAGCTGTGCACCTTCAAAACCAGTAAAGTGCAGGAAATTCTTTTAACAAAATGGAAAATGTAGGTGCATGTGCCATCAGGTTAATTACTGTTTTCACTATTGCCACTGTTTTTGTAATTATTCGATCCAAGTCAACGGTTCGAAAAAAAAAACTGACAAGAATCGAAATACTAGCTGAGACAATGGCACAGACCTAAATTTTACAAACAAAATTGCCATACAATTCATGCACAAAGAATAAGATATGGGCATAGATACCTCCGATCTTATAGTTCCTGAACTGATGCATCTGGTAATATCTGCGTAACACGGAAATGTAGGTGAAATTATTTGGTTACCTAATAACACAGCAAAATTTGAAAAGAAAAAATAAATAAATAGTTGCTGGGTACTTTAGTTAAAGAGATAAGAAACAGCCACATCTGCTATTAGGAATTTAGGATAAAACCCAACACTCATTTCAGAAAGCAAGAAGACAAATAGCATACATTTTGTTGAGCACATCGTATATGTTGATTCAGCAACAACAAATCCTGTCAAAAGGGCCATAAATAGCCGATGATTTTTCTGTCCTGCAAAATTGCACAGGAGATTAGAATGCATACCTACAACTGCCATGCCACAATAGGGCAAAACACTATCACTTGAAAAATGGAATATAACAATACCTATGCAAGTACCAAATGCAGGGCAATGATGGTCATAGCCCCTAATGTTTGCTTTGCACCAGGTACACTGCCTGACCCTTGAGAGCATTGGGAGTTTCTACATCAAAAGTTAAAAAGGGTGTTAAAGAACTATTTACTTCAAGTTAGTATTAGAACAGCTTCATTTAAAACTAGAATTTCGCAACACCTCACTCGAGTATATGGCTTCCAAAAAATCCTTGCAGCCAGCTTCTTCCAAATATGAAGAATCACAAGCAACAATACCAGGATCACCAGATAAAATCCTGAAATAAAAAAGGTAGAAATTAAGCCCTGCATCCTAAAGGTGGTGGTATCAAAGGCCTAGCTTAGATTTAAGCACTGTTTTAAATTCACTAGGCCTAGCTTAGATTTGCAAACTTCATTGAAAAAGAATTATTCCTGAGGAAGTAACCTGTAGAGTCCCCACAGAAGCAGTGCACACTCTGCATTTATTAGGATGTCCAGCAGAGAAGAAGTTTCTGCAAAATATTTGACTGATTACAGATCCACGACAACAGAAGTAGACATATATACAGTGCTCTTTTCTCCTGCTCCCAAACGGCAGCATAAAACACAACAAATTAATAAATACTTGAAGGATTACTAACACAAAATCTACGGTATGCACATTCTCTCAAATTTCCTGTGAGTTTGAGAAACATAAATCCAATGTCCTGCGACACCAATTTACAGTGCCTCATCCTCAATATCCAATGATATGCTACATCAGGTCCAAAAAGGATTGCATCCTAAAAATACATGAAGTTATAATAGTAAACCTGAATCAAAGTACTTAGATGGCACATGAGAATAAAATCAATTGATTCATCAGTAAAAGGGATTATATGATCATTAACAATATAGTATTACTTTTTCCTAGTATACTCGCTAAACACCACATAAATCAGACTGTAGGTAGCCCTAACATATCATTCAACAGTGGTATGTGTCTGGCTAATAGCACTGCAATTCACGATGAACTAGAGGTGAGCACAGACAAACCAAGAGTAATGCTGCCATGCTTGATCTCTTCAAGCATTTTGATTCACCACGAATTAGGACTCTAAAAGTGAGCACAAAAATTGACTAGAGCGTGCTGTGTCCACACTTGGTCCCTTGACCAGAGCCAGCTCAATCTTGCGCATTACGGGGTTGTGTAGTTGAGCACACATTTGGTCACAAGGAGTGACTTAATCACTTAATATTGAAGTACTACAGGGATTCGTAGTTGAAATCTACCCTTGGTACATGCTTTGAACTTTTGAAGTCTGTGCAACTCTCATGGGATGGAGCATAAAATCATCTTTTAATGACTGAACCCAATTTATAGTACCTAACCAGAAGAAGCAACCGACAAACTTAATCCTTTCATTCAGCTATTTCAGTCAAGGTCGGATTCTAAATCTGGGAAACAGGTACGACTTAATGCTAAACTAAGACACAGAGCTATAAGCTTCCACCTAATTTTACTAATTTTTACAGGTACCACGTACATTCATAATGTCAAAATCAAGCACCAGCATCTTGATTCTCTTTGCTTTGTATGACCTAAAAGATTCGGTTATATGGGACCCAAGAGAACAAAGCAAGCCCAACAACTCACCTAAACCAGGAAACTTCGTCAGCTTTACTCAAGTCAATGCAGCAAGACAAAAATAGCAAATATCCACAGACCACAGCAATCGATAGCGTCCAAAATCACAATGGGCACCCTACCAATACACTGCAAGCATTGCTACAAGAGCTCACCTCTCCAGATTACGAAGACGTAAACGCCCCACAATAGGAGGATGTTGAAGAGCACGAAGAGCGGCGCCGACGCCGCCACCCCGATGAACCTCCTCCACAGGCGGCCGAGCACGATAGCCGCAAGGAACACCAACCCTATGCAGCATGCAATCAAAGTAAGATCAGAATTCTCTGGCGCTTAAAAAAAAAGTAGAGACGCCCGCAGCCGGGGGCAGGAAACCAAAAAGGAAGCGAGCAACCAGAGAGCACCGACCCACGATGGGGAGCATGGCGAGGAGAGAGAGGGAAGGGAAGAGGCGGGGAACCATCGCCACGGCGAGCTGCGAGAAGAGCACAAGGCCGCATGACGCGAGCGCGGACCACAGCACCTCCCACGGCGACGACGACCTCCGCAGGCGCTGGAGCCCCGACGCAAGCCTGCTCATCGCCTCGAACTCCTCCCCGGGCCGACCCCAGGGACCATCAAGGCAGCCCGAGCCAGGAGATCCAGTCGGCCGCCGGGACGCCTAGGAACCGGGCTCCGGCGAGACTCGTCGATCTCGTCTGGGTCCGCTGATGGGAACGGAAGTAGGGGAAGGATGCGAGGCGAATCTTAGTTGACGAGGAAGAGGGCTCGCGGCGGCAGTTCGTCGAACGTGTGCAGTGCGCGGAAGTAAGCGGTAACAGGCTAGCAGTAGAAGCGGAATGGTCGTCCTCGCAACTCGGAAGCTGCTGCTTCGGGGGAAAATAAATTTAGGCCTTTTAAAAACACTAAAAAAAAGTAGGGTGTAAAGTGTTGAGGTTATATAAGGGTGTCGCATGGGGTGTTCGGATACTAATAAAAAATAAATTATAGAATTCATCGGTAATCCGCGAGATGAATTTATTAAGCCTAATTAATCCGTCATTAGCATATGTGTTACGGTAGTATCACATTGTTAAATCATAAACTAATTAGATTTAAAAGATTTGTCTCGTAAATTAGTCGTAAACTGTACAATTAGTTTGAATACGGTAATTAACTTATGTTTTTTAGTTGGGTAGATACTGTACTCTATTTGTGGCGGATCGGAATGGCGTGCATGTTGCAAGATGCGCCTGCCTGCCCGGCTGGCTGAAGCTGCGCATGCGAGTGAGTGCAAAAGTAATGTTGTGTTGGCTGGTCGGTTTCTGGACTGGTTTAGGTCAGCTGGTGCTGGTTTGTTGTGAGAGAAAAACACTGTTGACTGGTTGAATAAGTCTGGCTGAAACTAACAAGCGAACATGATAAATAACTGCTACATGATGGTTACGGAGTCCTCCGTTATTAAAAAAAAGTTTACCCCAACAAATGAGTGTTCGGCACTTAATTTTTTCCCTTTACTTTCATCGTTTTTCTCGCTCGGTACTCAATTTTTTCCTCTTCACTTTCATCGTTCTCCTTGCCCCGCTACGGCTGCGCGGCCGTGGAGCTCCGTCGAAACTTTAGCGTGGCCTCTGTCTTTCCTTCCCCAACCTTCAGCTTCCACGGCGAGCTCCGGCCATGGCCCCCGCCCCGACCTAGCACAACTGCCTCCACTACCACCAAGGGCCCTAACCACCCTACCGCCGTCCTCACCGCCTTTAGCCAGTCTAACTCTCCAGAACCCCCTTCTATGCTTGCTAGACATGGAGAAGAAGAGGGGATAGGCTAGAGAGAGCTCACTAGAAATCGAGTGCCTGATAGGAAAAGAAACAATCGAGTCTTGTTTAGCACTTCTGAAAAAAAAAAGCATCAGAATTGCACCATTTAACTAGATTTATAAAAAATATATATATCTTCAAATAAATTTATTATAAAAAAATATTCAGTGCAATTTATCTAACAATACTAGTTATGCGTCATAAATGTTAATATATATTTGATCAAAGTACAAAAATGAAGAAATAAGAATATACCTTTTATAAAACGGAGAGAGTACCGTGCAATGAAGCAGGCAACAACACCATACTAAATGGCCTCATTTCGGACGGTTTCTTCTCCTACGACGGCTTTAGTTTATGTAGAATTTTGTGCATTGTTTGATAAAAGAAAAGAATTTTGTGCATTGTAGGAAAGCGAGATTTTTTTCTTTCAAAAATAAACTAGAAGACGATAAAAGATAGAACACTGACTTCCGCAGCTCTAGCTCCTGTTAAGGATGCAGAGACCGAAAGAAGTCTCGTCAAAGAGGACCTTATCTCCTGTTTAACAGGGCTCTGTTTTTGGCTTCTCCTGACTTTTTACAAGGGGCTCTACTAGACGACCATCCCAAAAACAGCTTCTTTCAAAGAGTCCAAATGACCTGGAGATGTTTTTTGTATAAATGAGTCAGAGCTGTAGAAATGTGGTATCTCTTGGCTCTTCCTCACAAATCAAATACGAATTATTACAAACTGCCATCAAAGACACTTTTGCAAAACGTTTTACAAAACGACTTCACCTCCATCAAAGAAGTTGCTTTAGAGGGAGCCAAAGCCCTACCAAAGAGGGCCTAAGGTCGTCTTTGGCACACCTCAAAAGAGCTTGAGCTTTTGTTCTAATAAAAATATTTGTAGTGGTAATGTTCCAATGTTGTAGAGCGAAACTGATGAAACCGTTTAAAAGAGCTACAGTGTTGAAACTAGAGAAGCATTTTAGCGTGTATTTGGTTTGGAGATAACGGAGGATGGATTGGTTCCACCTTGTTTTGGACGGGACCGTCCCGGTTCTCGTTTAGTTGTAGAGGACGCGACCAACTCTTTTGTTTTTGTTCTAAGTCCTCAAAATCTAGGGACGAGTCATTGACACGTAGGACTCATCGTCATTCTCACATCTTCCTCCTTCTTCTTTGTTCCCAAACAGACTACACCGTCGCCGTCTCATCACTCTCCTGGAAGCATCGCTGGCCCTGCGCGTCCACAGCATGCTCACGTAGTCAGCTCGTCGTCCTGCAGTTGCAGCTTGCCTGCACGCTCATTGTTAAACCAAGAATCTCACCCATGAGCTCGTCTGGCCAAACAGCTCGCCTCGCGCGCTTGTCGTCTAGCCATGTAGGTAGTCATGCGCCACCACCACAAATCTCCTTGTGCCAGTGCTCGGATACCTCAGATGCGGCGCCGCATGTTACCGCCCGCTCGCCTTCTAGTAGCTCACCCCACGTGCTGGATTGCCTATTGGCCGCCCAGACGGAGCGGCCTTGCTCGGCCATGCTTGGCGTGCCGGAGGAAGAGGAAAGGGGACATGTTTGTCTCCTCGTTTTCGAGGAAGCGAGATATTCAACATATTCCTAGAATATTCCCTATAGAGGTTGAATTTGTCCATCTTGTCTCCGTACCCGACACTACAATAAAAAAATCAACCCATCCTATCGTATTTTATCCTCAAAACCAAATACATACCTAGAGCTCATCTGGCTTCTACAGTGGCTACAACAATACCCAACACTATAGAATCTGAAGCCGATGCAAACCATGTCAAGAAAAGAGATCTTCCTTTCCTATATTCTTGTATAAAGGGGTTCGAGAAGCAAAAACCGGTTCAACAGACCCTTTTTAATTTGGGCGTGACTAGCGCCCCGGACGTCCAGACACTAGCCCCCCATCCGACACCCACGCCACTGCCACCGTCCCGCGTCCCACGCTCGCTCGCCCACATCTCGCCTGTTGCACCCGCCCGCAAGCACGTGGAGCCCGCCCACACCGGTGGGGACCGCCTCCGCCTTCCGCGCACGACATCAAGGCGAGACCGCAGAAAGGCGAGGAGGGAGACGCAACACTCGATCTAGTTTTAAACATACAAATGCAACGTACGTCTGAAAAACAAATATAACATTGGAAACATGCATATGGAACACTTACAAAAATACCTGAAAAACACTTGAAACCATTGTAAACACAAGCAACATCCAGATAAAACACTTGCATCATATGTGTGAAAACATATGCAACACCCAGATAACACACTTTCAACATACGTCGGAAAAAAACAGATGAAATATTGAGAACAAGAGCTTGCAACATACGTGTACAACCATTGCAACATGTGCAACATCTCGATCTACTTTTGCATCATCCTTATGAAACACTTGCAACTTACCTCTGAAACATTGAAAACACTAAAAACAGACGCTTGCAACATGCAGTTTCAACGCAAACATCTCCTCGTTGCTTGGGAGAATGGAGGTTCGTCGGCACGTGGAGTTCGCTGGAGGCAGCGGCCCGGCGGTGCTTGTAGGCAGCGGCTCGGCGGTGGCTACGTGACAGACACCTGCGCGCTGGCAGGCTGGGAGCCGAAGCTCCGCGACTTCATGAGGCGTTGCGCTTGCGCTACTTTGGCATGGTATGGTAAACCGCGCCGCCACGACTTTCTGACAGTGCCCCTACCATGAAATTAGGAGAGGGAAGCCGCGCGCCTCATCTGGTGGGGTTGGGTGGCTGGTAGTCGAAGCACCACGTGCGGGAGCGAAGCGGAGTGGAGCGAGACGTGCGGGAGTTGATTTTGTTTTTTTAGACGAGCGGCGCATGCGGCAGTAAGTGGAGCGATACGTCCAGCCTTTCAGATGTTTTAACGATAGCATTACCGTTTTTTTTGGCAATCCTCGAAATCTTATCTCAATCTCTCAAATGAAGGTCAATTCCTTTCTTTCTTTCTCTTTGGCTGAAGTCTCGGTCCCATGCAGCCGAGCTGCGCCGCCGCTGTTTTTGCCGCCAAAAGCTGCGCTTAGTGACGGCCGACGGAGGGCCGCCTTCTCTAACCTTAGTCCCCTCCTCTAATACACGTACGATGATAAATTTTAAGAGAGACTTGGAAAAGTCCACGCTCAGGATGGGTGGGTGGGTGGGGGGGGCTGAGCCCCCTAGCCCCACCGCTGGCTACGTCCCTATGCGCTTGATCGCGGTGTTGCGCGGCTGTTGTTGCCGCGGCCGAAGGGGACAGGCGATCGCGAGCTCGCCGCTCGGCAATCGGCACGACGCGCGCTGCGCCTGCGCGCAGGCGTGCGTGAATGCGATGGCGCCGTGCCCGACCCGACCCGACCGAGTGCTCGCCCCTGCCGGCTGTCGTGGCACTCGTTATTGGTTTGCAGGTTGTGCCGGCGATGCCCCGAGAGCTGAAGAGCGAGAGCACCAAAATTCACGGCAGGTCGACAGTCCACTCGCCCACCGACACAGCCTTTGTCTCCGGGCGGTTTATGTGTTCGGTGAGGTGCAGTGCAGGTACGAAAACGGCAGCCCGGTGGTTAGCGTTTCAAAATCCACGAGATCTTTCGGGGTGAGAACCGTACTGAATCTGGACGTGTCGGCAATCGAACGGCCTGAAAAGATCTAGCATGGGAAACGAGTATTTGCGATTTGCTACTGCTGCCCTGCTGGTCTGTGCATGTCGCCGCGACTCTAGGAAAACCTGAAGACAGCACAAGTGCATAGGAGTGAACTGTTTTCTTGAACAAATCGAGTAGTATTTATGGTT